AGAGGTGAGAGAGTAGAGACGAGAGAGAGAGAGAGAAACCGAGAGTTTATCCTGAGAGAGCCCATGCCGATTAAATAAGAACACAGAAAAGAAAAAAGACAAAGAATCTTAATGGGATAAGGACAAAGAAAAGGAAAGGTAGGATAAAAGAAAAAAGAAAGAAAGACAAATTAAACCTGATAGAAAACAGAGACCACGCAAGTACCCCTCCCTTTTCGTTTCCAACCTCCGCTCCCCTCCCCTTCCCCTCCCCTCCAGCTCTCCGTCCTTCCTACCAACGCCCCTCACACCCCTCCCCCTCCTCCTCCCACCTCATTCTCCTTACCCTGCGTCCACACTCCGCGCGCATCAATACCACCAACAATTACCACAACCCACGCTTCGAAAGCGATATATGAAGGAAACCTCGGACATCGCCCGCGCAGCAGAGTGGGAACAAAACGACAGGTTGCTCTCTATAAGTACGCGTTATAGGATCAGATGCTCGTGGCACTGTCTTCGGCCCAACAAAGGGATGTGTCACAGTCAGAGGGCGGAGACCCAGTCTTGCCCCGCTCAGTGTCTGGCTCGGGTGTCCTGTGTCATCCTGCGCCATCCGGGATCTTTTTTTCATTTATTATTATTTTTTTTTCTATGCGATTCGTTCCTTGCAGGTCGAGAACAAGCGACGGACATGTATGTGTGTTGTATACAAATAAACACACACACACACACACAACACACACACACACACACACACACACACACCACACACACATACATACACACACACACACACACACAAACACACACAACACGCATATATATATATATATATATACTATATATATATATATATAATATATATAATATATAATATTATATATATATATATATATATATATTATAATATATATCTATAATAGTATACATATATTTATATTCTTGATTGTCCATTGAATATGAAATATAAATCACTTTTATCAGTATGGCGATGACAAAACCTTGAATATTGATGCAAATGAAGGGAAACAATGAATAAGGAAATGGAATATAGTGATGAAGAGAGAGAAAAATATATATATTTACATATTTCTAAAAGCTATTTGATATATCAGCGAAGAAATGATGAAGTGCTTGAAAAAGAAAGATAAAAATAATATAGAGAAAAGTGTAAGAAATGGTGATGATAAATCAGACGAAAACAATAAGAAAAAAATAATAACTTGAAATAACGAAAGTAATTAAAAGCGTTCATAGAAAAAATAACGGGATAGGAAAATTAGAATGGCAATTACAACATTAATGATACCGATAAAAATTATTATAACAGTAATGGTTATAAGAGCAACATCAACACCACGAATTAGAATAACGGTAATCGGATTAAAAACGACATTAATAAACAATTAATTACATCAAGAAATATGGAGAAAAAAACGAGTATGACCCTCTCTTTCGAAGGAGGGAGATATCCTGCTAAGAATCCTTCAGCGGGAATAAAGACGCGTGTAATTAGACCGAGAAGTCGATCTGGAGCACAAATCTCCCCACGCAGATCGAACGGTCATTAAGAGCAACCAGGGATATTTATCTGCAGTCGCTTTTTCCTCTCTCTTCCTTCTAAGTGGGAGTTCATGCTTGAATTAACTGGGCGACTGTGTGGGAGGAGGAGTGGAGGAGGGAGGAGGAGGGAAAGGAAGGAGGAGGGGAAGGAGGAAGAGGGTGGGAAAGAGAAGGGAAAGCGAGCTGGGATGAAAGTTGAAGGTAAGGGAAAGCGCGGTATGATGTGGAGTGTGGGATGATAAAGGAATAATAGGCTTGTTTTCATTGATAAGTTATACTGACGTGGGAAAAATTATCAGAAGTTTATCAATTCATTTATCATTATCATCCTTTTTTTTTACCATCATTATAGCCCTCATTTCCACTGGCAAAAAACAGTCTTACGACACGAGAAACTGTCGCAAATATCATTCGCGACACCCTCTTGCCGGTCGCTACAGCAACGTTCCCAATGTTTGTTCGCTTCTGCCACAGGTTCGACTCCACTCCCGTTCCTAGAAAGCGTACACGAGTTGACAAGTCTGATTTTCCTTTTGAATTGTGTAGAATGGTTAATCACTGTTTTACTGATATTACATTAGGAAACAACAATCAATACATGTGGTTAGTTATTAACATCAAATGCGCGGGCTACTAAGAATTCCCATCATACTTTTTCCTTTTTCTATCGACATAGCTTTGACCGTCACCTCCTCTTTGAATATATATATATATATATATATATTATATATATATATATATATGTGTGTGTGTGTGCCTAGTGTTGTGTGTGCGTGTGTGTGCGGAAAGCATTTTGTCTAGCACAGTGTAAAAACATCCTCATTAACATCATCATCACTGTTAGTGATTAACGCACCATATATTGTAGCATCCAATTTGAAACTTTCCCATTTTCTTCCAGTTTTCAAAACAGGCAGAGGTGCTGTGTTTATATATGACTCCGCCCCTATTTTGGGGGCGGAGTCATTTGTGTTGCGCGACAGTTCTTGTCGGTGGAAATGAGGCCTCATGACTAATCATCATTGTCATTATTTGTCTTAGTCTTGTCGTTATTGCTACTGCTGTAATTATTTTGTTATCTTAGGAAACAAAATAATTTTGTTATTGAAAACATTTGTTGACTTGCTTAGCTATATCCAAATGCATGCAGAGAGAGAGAGAGAGAGAGAGAGAGAGAGAGAGAGAGAGAGAGAAAGAGAAAGAGAGAGTTTTAGAGAGAAAAAGAGAGAGAAACAGACAGAAAGATAGGACAGAAAGACAGAGAGACAGACAACCAGAGCACGCGGGCGACCCCAAGCCCCCCTTCCCCATCTCCTCCCAACCCCTTCTCTCCCCCAGGGCCTCGAGTGTGGGTCGCGCTACCACGTGTACGCCGTCGCCCACAACGCCGTGGGCTCGAGCACCGCCAGCACCATGGCCGTTGTGAGAACCATGGGCGGCGTCCCTCAGCCTCCGCCCTCCGTCCAGTTCTTCACGCCCAACTCCTCGAGCGTCACGGTGTATCCGAGGGCGTGGGTGGCTCGTGGGTGCCCGATCACGCACATGGTACTCGAATACCGACAGAAAGACGACGAGCATTGGGTTCAAGGTGAGGGCGTTCGAATCTTTGCTTCTGACATTTTCGTTTTTTTTTTCTTCTTTCTTTCTTTACTTTTATTTCCTAAATCAGTTATTTCACTCTCCAAATGTAGCTATATCTTCTTTGTCAATTCTTTCTTTCTCGAATTATATTTTGTATCCTTTTTTCTATTATTTCACTATCGAAGTATTCTTTGTATCCTGTTTTTATTGACAATGTTGTTTTGTTTACCAATCCGATCACTAGTGAAATGTGTCTTGTATCTTTTTTGTTTTGTTTTGTTTTATTTTATCAATTCATTCACTAAATGTAGCTTATACACCGTTCTTTTTGTTGATATTTTTATCAATGCTTTCACCCTCGAAATATAACATGTATCCTTATTTATTTTACTAATACTTTCACTATCGAAATACGTCACACATCCTCTTCCTTTACCTCTACGTATTTTCACCACTTCATGTATTATCACTCACCTGTTATCCTTATCATCATCCACCTCCTAGTGTCGAGCGGAGGCCCCCAGGACAGCCGGGTCGAGATCGGTGGTCTTATGCCCTCCACAGCCTACTCGCTGCGTGTGACAGCCGTGGCCAGCGCCGGGTCGAAGAGCCACACTTACACCTTCACCACACTCACTGTAGCAGGAGGTAAGGAAGTCGCTTTTTTTTTTTTTTTTTTTCTTTTTTTTTTTGGGGGGGGGGTGGCTTGTTGTGCTTTTTCGATGGAGGGTTTTGACGGTCTCTCTTTCTATCTGCTCTCTCTCTCTCTCTCTTCTCTCTTTCTCTCTCTCTCTCTTCTTCTCTCTCTCTCTCTCTCTCTCTCTCTCTCTCTCTCTCTCTCTCTCTCTCTCTCTCTCTCTCTCTCTCTCTCTCTCTCTCTCTCTCTCTCTCTCTCTCACTCTCTCTCTCTCTCTATCACTTTCTCTCTATCTATATAAATGTGTTATTGCTTTATAACGCAATATTTATTTCCATTGCAAAGTTCAAATTCAGAATTGTGCGTATTCGTACAACACTCGAAGCGCAAAAGAAATACAGGCGTTTATAGATGAAACCGATTTAAAATTCTATTCCTTTTTCTGAAGTTCAAAACAAGAGATAATCGTGCTGCGCCGAGAGCAAACGTTGATTATTTCAAAAGCAAAATAGAAAGGAAAAAAAATAAACTTCGAGAGAACGAAAGAGTATGAATCGATTTTTTTTTCCTTTTTTTTTTTTTTTTTTTATTGGATCTGACATTTTTGTCTGTAATACGCTCTTTTGCCGTTGTCAACATCAGTCATCTTTCCAGAATCACTATGAACAAAGACTTTTTTTTTCTTTCTTTATCGGATTAGAGAGATATCAAAGATTTTCATGATCAAAGGCAATTCGAAAATGTTTTTATCTCTACGGAACAGCGACTGTTGATTAACATGATGGATTTAAATTTCCTAAGAGATGAATCAAATGTAATTGATACGCGAACACAACCATAGGAAGAAATGCAATAAAGATGAGAACATGCATAGAAAGATATCCTTCTCGCTTTTATATAAGTCCGTAAAGATATCCAAAAGCATAACATGTTTTGTACATATTCAAAGGCACATCAGATGAAGAGATAGACGTGTGCAATTGCATTATTTCCATCTCATTGCAGAGCTGCCCCCTGCCTGGGTCGGAAGGGCTTCTCCCCAGTGGCTCTCCGTCAGGGTGCTCCTCCCGCTGCTCACCTCGGTGGTTGCTCTCGCCTCCTCCCTCGCCCTCGTCTGCTACTGCGTCAGGAGAAGTGAGTGTGCTTTAGGCATATATGTGCTGTGTGTGTGTGTGTGTCAATGTTTGTGTTGTGTGTGTGTGTGTGTGTGTGTGTATGTTTGTGTATATATGTGTGTGTGTGTGTGTGTATTTATGTGTGTTTTTGTGTGTATGTTCGTGAATGTGTGTGTGCATGAGTGTGTGTAAGTATATATGCATGTACATAAAGATTGATAGAGAGATAGATAAGGAGAGATAGAAATATAGAGAGAGAGAGAGAGAGAGAGAGAGAGAGAGAGAGAGAGAGAGAGAGAGAGAGAGAGAGAGAGAGAGAGAGAGAGAGAGAGAGAAAGAGAGAGAGAGAGAAAGAAAGTGAGTGAGAAAAGAGAGAGAGAGAAAGAGAAAGATAAATAGAGAGAGAGAAATAGAGAAAGATGATATAGACGGGTAAAGATAACGCTCCCAGTCCCCCTGGCGTCGTCCTCACCCTCCATCCGCCTCGCCCCTCGCAGAAACGTCCCCCGTGGGCGGCGGCGACGGCGACGGCGACGGCGACTCGGAGGGCACGGGCCGAGGCGCCAACACGGCCGCGCGGGACAACAAGCACAACCTGGCGCAGCGGGAGCAGTATTACGCCACCATCAGGAAGGCGCCGACGAGAGACCAGCAGCCCGACCGGGTGCCAGGTAGGAGAACCGGGAGGAGGTTCAAGTTAATTCACTTCTCTTTTGTCTCTCTTCGTCGGTCCTTCTGCTGTTAAGACTGGAATGCGGTTCATAGTCACGGTGTCAGCCTGGTTTTGCGTTAGTCTGAGCGCTTCGCCAGGGAAGTGCTGCCGCTGAGGAATATTTAGCGATTTTGATATAGTACGTTCTTCCGATTTTTCTTTTCTGGTGTTGAGGAAATTAGCATCTTCAGTGTCTGTTGTTGAAGCCACGAAGGAAGGTCAAAATCTTCCGTACATGTTAAGGATGGTTCTTTCTGCATATGTAGCCAATTAGGTGTCTTGTGGCGATATAGTAAAACCTACAAAAAAAGAGAGAAAAAACAGGTAGACAAGTTAGGTTTAAACATCTTAGAGAGAGAGAGAGAAAAGTATATTAAACTCAACACGTATCTTGACTTTTTAAGATAAATATATTATTGTGGGTTTTGTTATATAAAAAAGAACCGTTATTTTTCTCTTCTGCTGACAATGTTACTCCTTCTGGCGGTGTGGCATGGCTGATCGAGGTGTTCTCACTCTCCAACATGACTGAGAAAAGTGGCGTTGGTGTGTGTTTTTTTCCAGCTAGGACTGACTTATTAAAATATCCTTCTCCCACACACTTGGACTCGACCGGACGAACGTGCAGAAAGAACAGGACGAAATCCCTTTGATATGGCTGGCTTTAGACACGATTCCTGTTTTGACGGAAAGGACAGCAATGTTAAAAAAAAAAAAAAAAAAAAAAAAAAAAAAAAAAACTTCTGATGTTTCTGGTGTTCGTTTTTTGTGACTTCCAGCATGAGTGTAGCAGATATATCTCGCTGTCAAGCTGGCAGATATCCCTCTCCTATGACGCGACCAGTGTGGTTTGCTCCTCTGCCGATTGGACAGACTCAGGCCCTCGGCTTCTTTCTGCCTCTACGCATCACTCTTTCTCTCTTTTCCTCTCCCTTTCTCTTTGTCTCTGTCTATACATATACATACACACACACACACACACATACACATATATATATAACTCGCTTAGTTTCCCTAAAGTATCGACATTTCGCTTCTATTTCTTCTAAGACCATCATAAGACCACCACACTGTTTCATCTGACCGATTCCCTCCCTGAAACTCCATACACACACACACACACACTTTACTTGACTCACCCCGTCCCTCGTCCCTCCACCTCTTAACACGAGCGAGGAATTCTTACTGACACACCTTTTCACTGCCTCACTTCGTCCCCACGCCCCTGGCACCACCACGTAAACACTACCCAGGCACTACAGATGTTTTCCCTTTCCTCAAGACTGAGATACGGTCCCTTTTCATACATTGGAGAACACTTGACTGGAACTTTTCGACTGGCAGACTCGCACATAACAGGAACACTTGACTGACTTCTCCCCCTCCTCCTTGTCCCCCTCAAGGCCCTGTCACCGTCCCCAGCACCACTCCACGGACTGGTTCTCTGTCCTCCCAGACTAAGATGCCGCCCCACTGACACATACCAAAAACACTTGACTGACTTCTCCCCCTCCTCCCCGCCCCCCACGGCCTTGCCACCGTCCCCAGCACCACGCAAGCACCACGACTGGTTCTCTTCCTCCCAGACATTGAACACATACCAGGAACACTTGACTACTTCTCCCCCTCCTTTCCTTGCCACCAGCACCACGCGACTGGCAGACTAAGATGCCGCCCCACCTGACACATACCGGAACACTTGACTACTTCTCCCCCTCTCCCACCGTCCCCAGCACTCGCACCACGACTGGGACAGGCCCATTACAGAACACTTGACTGTCCCCCCAACTCTTTCCCCAGCACCACCACCACGACTGTTCTCTTCCTCCCAGACTAAAAAGCCGCCCCACCTGACACATACAGGAACACTTGACTGACTTCTCCCCCTCCTCCCCGCCCCCCCCACGACCTTGCCACCGTCCCCAGCACCACGCAAGCACCACGACTGGTCTCTCCTCCCAGACATGCCGCCCCACCTGACACATACCAGAACACTTTGACTTTCCCCCTCCTTCCCCCTTCCCTCCCAGGCCCTGCCACGTCCCCAGCACCACGCAACCACACGACTGGTTTCTTCCCCCAGACTAAGATGCCGCCCCACCTGACATACCAGGAACACTTGACTGACATTCTCCCCTCCTCCCCCCCCCCCCCAACGACTCTTGCCACCGTCCCCAGCACCACGCAAAGCACCACGACTGGTTCTCTTCCTCCCAGACTATGATGCCGCCCCCACCTGACACATACCAGGAACACTTGACTGACTTCTCCCCCTCCTCCCCGCCCCCCACACTCTTGCCACCGTCCCCAGCACCACGCAAGCACCACGACTGGTTCTCTTCCTCCCAGACTATGATGCCGCCCCACCTGACACATACCAGGAACACTTGACTGACTTTTCCCCCTCCTCCCCGCCCCCCCACGGCCCTTGCCACCGTCCCCAGCACCACGCAAGCACCACGACTGGTTCTCTTCCTCCCAGACTAGATGCCGCCCCACCTGACACATACCAGGAACACTTGACTGACATCTCCCCCTCCTGCCCCCCACGACTCTTGCCACCGTCCCAGCACCACGCAAGCACCACGACTGGTTCTCTTCCCCCAGACTAAGATGCCGCCCCACCTGACACATACCAGGAACACTTGACTGACTTCTCCCCCTCTTCCCCTTCCCCCCCACGACTCTTGCCACCGTCCCCAGCACCACGCAAGCACCACGACTGGTTCTCTTCCTCCCAGACTGAGATGCCGCCCCACCTGACACATACCAAAAACACTTGACTGACTTCTCCCCCCCCCCCCCCCCACGACTCTTGCCACCGTCCCCAGCACCACGCAAGCACCACGACTGGTTCTCTTCCTCCCAGACTAAATGCCGCCCCACCTGACACATACCAGGAACACTTGACTGACTTCTCCCCCTCCTCCCCGCCCCCCCACGGCCCTTGCCACCGTCCCCAGCACCACGCAAGCACCACGACTGGTTCTCTTCCTCCCAGACTAAGATGCCGCCCCACCTGACACATACAGGAACACTTGACTGACTTCTCCCCCTCCTCCCCCGCCCCCCCCCAACCCTTGCCACCGTCCCCAGCACCACGCAAGCACCACGACTGGTTCTCTTCCTCCCAGACTAAGATGCTACCCCTTTCTCCGACCACCTCCACAGAAAATGCAGAGGATATCTACCCGTACGCCACCTTCCAGCTACCTGATCCAGCGCCCCCAGACCCGAACCACATCCCCATGTATCCGATATACCAAACCCGCACAGATAAGGTCTGTACCCATTGCCAGGCGCTTTTTGTATATTTAGATTTTTTTTTCATGTTTTATTTCTAAGTAAAAGAAGAAGATTTTTGTAAGTAGTTTTGTCCTGAATAGATAGTTGATTTGTTATGTGTGTTGTTGAGCTTATTCTTTCCTATCACTATTTCTTTGCTATTATGAATCATATCTCAGCAAATAGACATTCTTTCTTTTATATCTAACTGTATCAATTAAAAGGCATGCGGTATTTATATTCTCTTTTTATTAGTGTATATGATTTGCAATGTCATCTTCATACAAAAGGCATATAAATCAAAGCTTACCTTGACCCATCTTTATAAATTCACAAACGGTGCCGTGAAACAACTTTTGCAAGGCTTGTGATGTTGCCTCTATTTTCCTGGATTCTGTTAGCACACGGGGTCCTCGCGATCGACAAGATCACACGCAAGTCAAAAGACACACACGCACATGCTAATAAATGCAGATACACAAACACAGACACACAAGCACACACACACACATTCACACATACATATATACACACATGTCTGTATGTATGTATGTATGTATGAATATCTAAGTAAAAAAAAAACTAGCACACACAAAAAAATATATATAGATACACATAAATACGCACACACAGATTCACAGGTTATATATATATATATATATATATATATATATATATATATATATATATATATATATATATATATATATATATATATATATATATATATATATATATATATATATATATATATATATATATATATATATATATATATATATATATATATATATATAATACACACACACACGTAAATATATACACACATATAGTGTGTGTTCGTTTCTGTTGTGTGTTTTGTGTGTACATATATATAAACGTTAGTAGATTATCACTTCTATATAATAGTTAAATGGACCCATATCTGCACCGACAAGCATAGATAAACAAAGGAAAGAAAAGAAGGAACATATTTTGATATACTGCTCAGCTACACACAATTTAATAAATTTTTCGATCGTATTCTATGTACTTTATGTGTAGTTTGCATGTTTCATTATCTGTATATGTAGCTAAATAAATAAATATATATGTCTGTATGACTATACATACATAAATACATGTACGAATATAGTTATACCTATATTATATATAATATATATATATATATATATATATATATATATATATATATATATATATATATATATATATATATATATATATATATATGTATATATATATATATATATATATATATATATATATATATATATATATATATATATATATATATATATATGTATATATATATATAATATATATATATATATATATATATATATATATATATATGTATATATGTATAATGTATATTATATATATATATATATATATATATATATATATATATATATATATATATATATATATATATATATATATATATATATATATATATATATATATATATAGCATTGTAGGTATCTTTCATTTAGAAATATAATCCGAAATGATTTATTATTATTATTATTTTTACAGTATTAACTTATTTTCTTCTTATATTTTTCGTTTCCGTAGCTATGCTCCCTTTCTAAACATTGCCAGACATCTACTTTATCAGTTTCCTTGTATATAGTTTTATCTTATAATATCCATAGCAACAAAGTATCTTGGGGACATAACGTTTCATCCCATTATCGTTTCCTTCTACCTCTTACATGGTTTACAGTGTAATCAAGTTCAGTTGTTTGCGAAGGGGAAGCGAAAGGCCTCGTGGGTGTCTTTCTCTCCCCGAAACCTCCCCGCCTTGGCTCCGGGATTCGCTAACCTCCCTCTCTCTCTCTCTCCCCTTTCCGCCTCCAGCAAATGGAGAACTACGGGGAGGTGAAGCGCCGTGGCAGCCGCAGCCGCAACCAGCGCCGTAGCCGCAGCCGCAGCCGGAGCCGCGGCGGCGTGGCGGACAGCGGCGAGGACTACGAAACGCTCGGGTCGGACACCGAGACGGAGCACGGCGGGGTGTCGTCGCGCACGGAGTCGTCGAACCAGCTGGACGACATCCCCTCCATCCGGGACCACACGGTGTACGCCAGGGGCCCCGCCAACAAGGAGCCTCGCGACGCCGCTCTTTATTCCAGGGACGCCTCCAGGGACGCCAGCAACCCGCCCTTCCAGCAAAGGATCCACCACAGTAAGTGCTTTTAAGGAGGTCCTGCGTGTCTCTCTCGCGCGCACACACTTCTCACGCTCCCAGCTTGTTCGTCTGTCCTTGTGCCACTTTGCCTCACCCGCACCTCACCCGCCTGGGGAGCTCCACGTCGGTAACACAACCCGCAGCCCCCGCCGCCCTCGGTATCACGGGCCCCTCGGCTCCGACGCAAGAATTTTGATCGATCACTTGCCATCACACTCCGCTGCTCTTATAGAACTGAAGGCGCATTCTCAAAGGTTTCTTTCAGTCCTGTCGAAAAAAGAATAATAAAAGTAAATACAAAGGGAGGAGGGAAGAGAGAGAGGGAAAAAAGATCCTTTAGAGTGTAAGTAAAAGCCTTCACCAACAAGCTGAGGTTATCAATCAGGATTCGGAATTCAAAGTGATTCCAGTGATACCGAGGTCTCGGGGGCTCCTTGAGAGATAGTGGATTAAACCTGAATACCGCGGTAACTGAAGATGTCTCTTGACCTCGATCAATATAAATACCTGCCTGCAAACCTGAGTAATGAATTCACTCAAGACTCAAGTATAGTTTTCTATCTTATAGCTGTTCATCCACTCATGTGAAATGAACAAGACTTTACTAAATAATGGAGAAAAGAGATACACATAGAGTAAAGAGAAATAAACAAATAAAATGAAATGACACACAGTACTACCTCCTAATATAGTCGCACATACACACAACACAACACAAAGTGCTGTAGTTACCGACAATGTGTGAGCTGACGCCAGGTTGTGCATGGTATTTCAGACTTGCTGTACCACGCGGAGTCCAGCACGTCCCCTGAACCTTCCCCTACCAAGGAGAGAAAGTCTTTTCCCCGCCGCACCAGAGCCAGGTACTCTCTCCACCTCACTCGCTCGTCCCTGGCATGTTAACCAACACCTGTCGCCACCATCATGGGTCATGGGGTTGTGTTTACGTTGTGTTTACCTTTTTGGTCTGTTTGTTTTCGTTCTTTTTTTTGTGTTTTTTATGGGTGGGTGGGTGGCGGGGGGGGGGGGTATTATGATGTGTTGCTTATCTAGAGTTGATTTGTTAGTCAGTGGTATTTTATTAGTTTTAACTAATTTTGTCATCGCCATAGGCATGTTCATTTCCTCGACTTTTTTACTCTCTCTCTCTGTCTTTCTTCTTCGTCTTCTTCTTCTCCTTCTACTTCAACTTCTTTTTCTTCTTCTTCTTCTTGTTTTTCCTCTTCTTTTTCTTCTTTTCCACTTCTTTTTCTTCTTCTTCTTCTTGCTTTTCCTCTTCTTTTCCTTCTTCCTTTTCCTCTTATTATTATTTTTCTACTTCTTTCTTCTGTTACCCCTTTCTGTTGCACTATAGCTATCACCATCTCGGTCATTGCAATTTGTTTTGTTATTATACAACTTTCTATCTTAATATATCTAGTCATCATCATC